CACAGAAGGTTATGGACCGGCCCCGACCGGGACCGACAGTGTTCACAGATGCATCCTCTGTGACCTCCACTGCCGCAGCAGTGTGGCAGTCAGAAAATAAGTGGCATTGTGTAAAAGCGACCGATAATACACTCTCGGTCCAGCGGCTAGAGGTAACGGCTGTTGTCCTGGCTTGCGGGCTGTTTCTAACAGAGCACCTCAATATAGTGACTGACTCGATGTTTGTCACCAAGCTCTGCCTAGCCATGTCGCAGCCCGGTGTGCCAACATCCAGAGCAGCCCTGATGCTGGAAGAAGCCCTTGCTTCCCGAGAAGGCACCATATCGGTCATTCACATCAACAGCCACGACCCGATCAGAGGTTTCTTTCAGATCGGTAATCACAGAGCAGATGCTGCTGCAAAAGGGCTGTGGACACTGAGAGATGCTCGTCAGTTACACGAATCTCTCCATGTCGGGGCCAAAGCACTAGTTAAAGAGTGCAAAATCACGTATGCAGATGCTAAGCATATCGTAGCCACATGTCCCCATTGTCAAAAAACGCCACTTTGGTCCAGTGGAGTAAATCCTAGAGGTCTTAAAGCCTCCAAAATATGGCAATCAGATTTCACACTCTGCCAAATCTTGAAACCCCAGCCCTGGCTAGCAGTGACCGTAGACACCTACAGTGGAGTAATCGTGGCTACTCAACACGCCAAAACAGATTCCAAGGCAACCATCCGGCACTGGCTAACGGCCATGGCATGGCTCGGGGTCCCCAATCAGATCAAGGCCGACAACGGTCCAAATTTCACGTCCAAATCAGTTCAGGCATTCGCACATAAATGGGGCATTACACTGACACATGGCATTCCGTACAATAGCACAGGACAAGCCATAGTCGAGCGAGCAAATCAGACCCTAAAATCCAAAATAGAAGTATTGGCTAAGGCAGAAGGCTTTGCCAATGCAATTCCCTCGAAGGATCAAGCGCGGTTGTTAACAGCTTTGCTAGCACTGAATCAGTTTCTCAGAGGGGAAGAAGCGAACAGTCCAGTTCAAAAGCACTGGGCCACTCGTGCATTAGAGGAAGGCCCACCAGTCATAATCAGAAATGAATTAGGAGCTTGGGAACAAGGGTGGAAAATAGTCTTGGCTGGACGGGGATACGCTGCAGTTAAGAAAGACGGCGAGGTTAAATGGTGTCCACTTAAATCTGTTAAGCCAGATCTTCAGAATACAACTAACAAAAACTGCGAGCCTTTACTTACAGGATTGGATCATCGGACGCCCTCGCAACCAGTACAGCCCAGCGTCAAAGGAAGACGACACGCCGATCAGCATCCCGTCCAACCCTGCGGATTCGGCGCAGACAAAGGCCAGACAGCGTGGAGACAACCACCGTGAGAGATGCCTTTGTGTAATACTGATCCTGGCACTCTTCAAGGTGGAACCAGTACATGCAGGCCGTTTGCATCACCAGCCATTTAAATGGTCTCTCCTTAGGCCTGGGAGTCAGCAGGTTATAGCCTCTCAGGTAACATCAAACGCACCAAGCTTTACCACCACCCTGTGTACGTTAGTCCCACAAGACCTATGCTCGGCACTTGACAGATTCTATATGTGTCCTGCCTCAAATCCTGGAAAAGGGTACTGCAACATGCCTGGCGAGTACTACTGCGCTCACTGGGGATGCGAAACCATAGCCCCTACATGGATACCAGGCAGTGGTAGAGATAAGTACTTGAAAGTACAGTGGGGCCCACCCAGGTGTATACCACCACGGACATGGGGAAAGGGCACAATCTGTAGGTACCTCATTTTAAATGTCACAAACCCCCAGGAAGACAGCTGGTTGCTTGGGAAAACTTGGGGACTGAGGTATGCTGTAACAGGATACAACCCAGGCGGTCTGATCCAGATCAAGAAAGAAATAGCCCCAAACGACCCTTGGCCCAAGACACCACGCACAACAACCCTCAGACAGACCACTCGCCCTGCAACACCCAGGACACTGCACACTTCTAGCAGTCCAACTTCCGTCAGTACAACTTCCAGTAGTACACATCCACTTTGGAAGTTGATACGAGCCAGTTACCAAGTCCTGAACAAAACCAATCCAAACCTCACACAACACTGTTGGCTCTGTTACAGAGTGCAGCCACCCTATTACCAAGGCGTAGCAATAAATGACATGCCCACACAGGCCTACAGCGATAATCCTGCCCAATGTCTGTGGGAGATGGACAAACAAAGCATCACACTCACAGAAATAGTCGGCAGCGGGATGTGCGTAGGCCAAATCCCACAACACAAAAGACAATCATGTGCCGGGGAAGTAAACTACACAGCCCGAGCGAAATGGTTAGTCCCGGCTAATAACACTAAGTGGGCCTGTTCCTCTACAGGACTCACCCCTTGCATATCTTTGAAGGTGTTTAACAAATCCGCAGAGTACTGTGTCCAAGTGACAATAATCCCCAAGATCTATTACCACCCCGAGAACTATGTGTACGATTCCATGACTGTCCCAGACCATCACCTGGCAAAGCGAGAGCCCGTTACAGCATTAACCATGGCCCTGCTGATGCTTGCGGGAGGTACCGGAGCAGGTACAGGGATAGCGTCCCTAGTACGTCAGAACAGGGAATTCGGCGCTTTAAAATTAGCGATAGACGAAGACATAGCCCGAATCGAAGAATCCATCACAGCTCTCGCAAACTCGCTTAAGTCACTGTCCGAGGTGGTTCTGCAGAATCGCAGAGGACTGGACATACTGTTCTTACAAGCAGGCGGACTGTGCGCCGCTCTTAAAGAAGAGTGCTGCGTTTTCGCGGACCACACTGGGTTAGTGAAAGACACCATGGGCAAGCTGCGAGAGAGATTAGAAAATCGAAAAAGGGACAGAGAATCGCGGGACTGGTTCACGTCACTGTTCGATCAGGCACCATGGCTCACCACCTTGCTATCCTCTCTCATTGGTCCAATAGCAATGCTTTTCTTAGCACTGATTTTCGGACCTTGCATTTTTAACAAGCTCGTGTCGTTTGTCGAGAACCGTCTAAAAACCATCAAAATCATGGTGGTCAAAGACCGACAACTGCTGTAAATAGTATCTTAATTCTATGTAGCTCCACGTAGTTTACACTATGTCACAATTATATACCTTAATAGTAGAATACAACTTCCTACCTCTTTAGGCTTCCTTATGGAGCCACTTATTAAGCCTTAAACCTTTTAACCTCTATGACCTCTACAACTGTCTTTTGCACATTTTATATTACGGCTTGCTTTATACGGCATGGAGAGGGGGGAAATGTGAGTAGATAGGGTCTGGCGATCGGAAGATTTCGGTTTGTTACGGAAAGATAGGGACCGACCCCCTACCAGGGACCACCCCCTCCCATACCTGGCAGCCAATAATAGATTAGGTGACTTCACAAGCAGACGGAAATGACGGTGTAACTTAGCATTATAAAAGACTGTGTTACAAGGTAATAAACGCCATTTGCCGTCCACCACATTGGTGTCTATGAGTTAATGGCCCGAGTGACTGAAAGATAGTCACCGTGCTTTCCCTGAACCAGGTCATCACGCAACACTATGCTTCCTGATAAATTTTTTCTTCCTTAGAAATACATCATGAATGAACAGGAAAAATGACCTCAAAGCACACAGTACTATGTTTTCATAGTAAGATAAAAACCAAAAAGAAGTAACATAGTCATTAAAAAGAAACTACTAAAAGTACAACCCAACCAAAGACACCGTTGGCTCTTCATCTGTTACTTCTGCTTATGAGACTGAGAAGTAGACATGATTTAAAACAACAGAAGTAGCACAACAGCAAGAATAAATCACATAAGCACAATGTATGTACTGTGGACTACTCTACAACGCATGGTTAAACAGCAAGCAAAGAGAAAAATACATCCTGACATCCAAAAGTCTTCTCTTCAAAATAATATTTTGTGTATTACATGCATACACATCTGCCAGTATAATGAGCAAAACAGCTAAGTCACTATTTAATTTGTTTGAAGTTGCAAGAAAATTAATTTTTAAAGTATTTATATATATCTACACATACGTATCTTACTTATGTAGAAATGTTTTGTCTAGATTATGTATTCCATTACTATATTCCACTGATGGAAAAGATCAGCTATGGTGGGGGGAAAAAAAGCTGGCACTATTCATATCTGCTGTTGAAATTAAAAGTCAGAAGGCCAAGAATGATTTGTTGGGTTCTGGAGACCTGGGTTCTAATTCCTGTTCCCAGACCTATTTCTGCGTTAATATTTTTTAATGTAACAGTGATTCAACATCAAAACAAGGAAGAGTTCTAGAAAATGAGGACCAAACGCTGTTCTGTTAGCTGAAAGGAGCCAAACTAATTTAATACTCTTTTGCAGGAGAGTCTCCCTTCCCCTGCTCGCTCTGGAATTTTCTCCGTGTTTGTTCCGGAATACGCGAATCTTTCTTGAACACAAGGGGCCTGTTCCAGATTTCAGCTTTGCTTTATACCTGTGCTAGTTCTGGCTTTTTGTTTCCTCCAGAGGAAGGTTTCTCTCCAAGATTTAATAGATGTGAACCAAGGAGCCAGCAAAGCCCACCACGGTGCTGTGCTTCTAATCCCTTCTGCTAGTGCAACAGAGCAACTCTCCTGCCAAGTTGCCTCCCTCTTGGTATCAGCACATTATTCTGAAGGCTACTCTCACTAATACATTCCTAAGACATCTTTACTGTCTCCAGTAAATTCAGTGAATACTCATGTGCTCACAACACCTACAAATCATTTTTCTTCCTTCCACAGGAATCCATTATCCAGACAACTCACCCAGACTGGGTGTCCCTGCTCAGCTGGCTCTGGAACAAGTTTTGTAGTGCCAAAGACCAGCCATAAGGGAAATAAAGCTCGGAAATAATGTCAAACAGCAAACTCTAAGTAGTAGGGATGGATTCCAGCATTATTCAACAACTGAAATTTGAAAGTGTAGGGAATGTGAATGTTGCTCTCACCTTCCTCTCGGTAAATCTGCATCATCTTTCTTCCACCGGACTGTGGGCGTGGGATCCCCCTGCACCTGGCACCGGAAATCCACGGCCTCCTCCTCCAGCACCACTTGGTTAATCGGTCGCCTGAGAAACGTGGGCCGCTCTTGAAAGAGACATTAAAATTCCTTAGTGAGTCAGAGGGTTGAAATGAACATTTTTTGACTTTTCAGCATCATTTTGTTTATCCATGCACCACTCAGAAAGGAGGCTGAGCTCCACAAATTCAGACAAGTGGAACTGATGATGTGCATAAAGAGCCAGGAAGAGGGCTGCCAGGCTGGAGAGGCAGGGGCTGTCGCATCTGGCCCTCAAGGAATAGTGGAGTGCCACCAGAAGGCAGCCTGTGCCAGGACTGACTGCCCACCTGCCCTGCTGGACAGCAGACAGGCCTCTGAGCCCGTACCCTTCCCTGGGAATGCTGTGGCTCTGCACTGCTGCACACACAAAGCCTGATCTGAGAGCTCCTGTCTGCTCTAGCAATATATGAGCTGCCAGTGGAGCCAGCCTGGCTTTGGCAACGTTCAATATCTTCATGATGCAGAGGAAAATTTGAACTCGGTTGTTACGAATCTCAGGCAATCGCGGAGTGTCGGGCAGAGGACAGAGCTTCCCTTCGCCGACTTCACCATGGAAAACCAAATTAAGGTCTGAACAATAATTTCTGTTTACCCTTGTTGCTTTAGCCTGCACGGCTACAAATATTATTAATCACCCTAATGTTGTACAGGCCTGTTTAAAATCCAGATGCAGAGCCACAATCTGATCTCAGTTGCGCTGGTACAGTACCCTGTACACAGACACTGGTACAAACTCCAAGTACCGGTAATTTCATTTGAAAGGATGTCACTGGGGTTAGTTTCCAAGCTGCCTTTGGATTGCATGAATTTTGCTCTGTCCTCTCAGCCATACCACACTCGTATTGTCGTAAATTATTTATGCTAGCCAAACCATTATAAGGCTGGGTTTATATGAAGCAGTATTTCCACTCAAGACAAGGGTTTATCACAAAGACATTTAAAGCTGGTTACACGCTAAGTTTCACATTTCATTCTCAGCAAGTTGAAGGGTATGATGTCACCTAAAAATATTACTCAAAATTCACACAGATGCAAGCGATACCAGATTCTGACTCAGGCACTTTGTCTTGATAACTACAGAGCTGAGTTTATAGGTTGGTTATCCATGTTTATTATAAGCAAATAATAATAAAAATAAAAACCATTAAAGAGCGTTAATAAGGTTGCAAAATCAAGCGGGCAGCACCTCGCTGCCAGAACTAAGGCTGCCTGCGTGCCTTTTAATCACTTCCTTTCTGTTTATGCCTTATAGGACTGGTTGCAATTATATGATAACACACCATTTTTTTCCCCAAACATCTCCAGACTGTTGGTGTTCATTTAATGAGCAGGTGTTTAATATTTTGCTTTAGTTGTACTGTTTAGTGGGTGGCCTCCTGTCATACTACTCAAACTTCATTTCAAAGGCAGCATTAATTATTTCCTCATGACCTCTATTACACATATCTTAATGCTTCATGAGCAACTCACTTATTTTCATAACTCCTCTCTGAGGTGTGATGGAGATCCTAGAAAGCAAGATAAAAACTATCTGCTAAATTTTTATACCCAACCTGAGCCACAAAACTGGCAATTTTTGAGGGGCAGGGAGAATTAAGCGTTAATTAAGCTTCCATCGAATTCAGTTGCAGAAAAAAAAATGCTCACCACTTTTATAAATCAGAATATCAAGTCAGAAAATTAAGGATCACAAAACCACCTGTTAGTAATTATGCAAATGAGTGACAGCATCACAGAGGAATTCCATGATAGTAGCAGGGGGACCTATTGGCAGGGGAAAACGTATTTTGTCAGCAGAAGAATAGACATGTTCAAGAATCTGTAGCACTTTTCCAGATGATAGAGATAAGAATATGTCTAACAGGCAGAGATTCTTCTCTCCAAGCCATTGCTTTTGTCCTATTCTTATTCTTGCCCAGGACCTGCAGGTTTCAGCAACGTTCAGGCAAGTAAATTCAGTTCTAGTCTCTTTCGACACATTGAAATCTTTACTATTCCACATTTCAAGTCTGTGTACAAGCCATGTCCAGCTGCTGACTGCTTCCTTAGTCAATTTGTCTCATCTTAGCCCAGAAACATTGTATGGGACCTGCAGTTCTCAGGACAGAAATCTTCCTCCATTCCTCTCCTTCAAATCTTTGCCCATTTCTCTTCAATTATTCCTTTTACTCAGAACTGCAAGAACTGCAACATTTTTAGAGGAGAGTTAATTATTTTGGCAATTTAAAAATAAATAAATTAAAATCCAATCAGGTATGGAAAATTTTGGATAAAGCCTTTTTTAGTTTGACAAACTTATTAAAACTGGGCAAGGTAAAAACACCTATTATTTCTTAATGTTAGTGCTAAGCAATGCACTTGGCCCACTTGTAACTATGTGAACCTAGATGGGAATTTCTGTATGAAACTTTCTGCAGGTTATCAACAGCATCTTATTCACAAATGCTCTCCTAAGAAGAGCTCAGACCAACCCCTGCTCTGAGCTCATACGTAATATATCCTTCATTTTGGTATTTGTTTTTCAAAAATGACCCTAAACTAAGAAATTTAGATTTCAGATTGGCATTTCAAGTGGCGGTTTAGAGGCCCTTGGTTCATTCACAATGAATTTAAATAACTCTGTGTGTACCTGCACAACAGCTTGGTCTGCATACAAAAAATTATTTTAGACCAGGTGTATAAGAGCTGCATGTAAACAGCTAAGAAATTAGCATGTGCATATTGATGAAATTGCTACTTGTGGCTGTAAATTCTTCTACACAGGAGATAAAGAAAGAAACCCCTGTCACATGTTGAGGAGAACCCAGAAAGTAAATAGCCCAAAGGTCATTAGGTTAATCACTGGATTCCACATCAAGTAAATTTAGGAGCGTACACACACATTTGTTTCACATCAGCTTCTTAAGACTGTGTATTTTCAAAAACATTTTAAAAGTTTCTAGAAAATAAAATGCTATGAAAGGACAAATCCCACTTAGTAAGGAAATGTGAATACCATTAACTGCTGGTTCCATTTTTCCATCCTCTCTGCATTTTGCTCAGTGTGAATCAGGAAAGAACAAGTTACCTCTCATGTTGTTTCCTGTATTTGTATCACTCAGAAAACCCCTTGAATGTGTCCAATAGCTAATTATACAGCTATAAAGTGATCAGAGTGAATGCCATTGCCAATGCAATTAACATTCTTTATATGAGATTAACTGGATTTGAGTCACCTGCATAACTTGCTTACAATGTTAATCTCTCAGGAGACAGAGCGCTGCCTGCTCAAGCATGCTAAATAAAGAAGGTTTCTTCAGACAGCCAGGTCAAATTTAGTTTAAGAGCTAATCTTGACAAAAAAAATCTTTTTTTATTTTTATTTTTTTTTCTTCTGAAATGGTTTGCCCATAAATAAAGCCTGGTGGTATAATTAAACATTGTTATGCTGTCAACAGCATCCAGAACACAATATATTTGAGAAACAACAAGAAAGGGTGATAAATTAAAATCACAGACATATATAAAAATTTTAATACAGCTATTTTATAAGCTTTCACTGAGTAAATAAAGTACCTACTTCCCAGACTTTCTCTGATGAATATTAAAAATCTTTGAGGAGAACGATAAAATAGGTCATGGTTATATGTCATGTCAACCAGTCATGCTATTACTAGGGTGACCTTTATAACTTCAGAATAAACTTTGCTTGCAGTTATAAAAGGGGGTTGTTAATGCAATCTGGACACACATCTGACAATCTGTTGCAGAGCTCGAGATATCCACTGCAAGGAAACCTACAGATCCTAACCAGAGACGGGAAAATGCTCTCCTTGCTTTGGGTGCTGACACAAGTTAACCTCAGAACTCAATTTTTCCCATATTTAACAATTGGTCTGAGTATCACAGTCTATTAGAGAGACTCAGATGACCTTCAGATGTATTGCTGCCCTTTCTCTCTTCCTCAAAAAGTTAGATAGCCATACATGGGGCCTCAATCTAATTAAAATGATCCTAACTACCTTAATATATTTTCTCTGCTGAGGCAACTGCTAGAGTGAAGGATTTGATGGTCCCCATAATGTAGAGCCTCAATCTGATTTGGAATTATTTTCTCTCTCTTTGCTGGACAGAAGACATAATTTTTTTAAAATGCCTTTTTTTTTTGTTCTAAAAAGAGTATTAAAACAAAAATTAAAAGGCTTTGGGGAGGGATTTAATAGTAAATGTTAAAAAATAAAAGCTTTTCTCCCTTTAGCATTCTGATGCAAAAAGAAAAAAAAAGGAAAAATTAGATGGTTGGAAGTAAGTCTCACTTCAGAACGCTGTCAGTAGCATAGATATGTTATTAAATACAATGTGATCTGGATGAAGGAAAGCTCTCTGCCAAAAAAGAAGACGTGGAATAAGACAGGATATTACGATCTCACTAAATTTACCTATGTTGGCCAAACAAAAGAAAATACAATTGCAAAAGCAGATGGCTTTATATTTAAAAATATTCTTCTACTATTTAGGTGCTTTTCTATTTTCCATTTGAGAAATAAGGCCTTGTGTAGACATTACAAACTTCTGCTCTCTAAGCAGCTCATCTCTAAGGTGAGATGAGTTTGCCCAGTAAAGGCATGGGGCACTGACAAGAGGCACATGCAAATGCAGTAGAATTATTTTTATCCATTGCTAGTGGTTTTCTCCTTTTATATGTGCCTACAACCATGTTTATTTCAGTTTTTACTGACCATTACATACAGACCTTGGAGACCAAATCAGACCCTTTTTCACAGCAGTGTCGTTACCCCGTTACAACTTCTCTGTATCTGGGAATAACAAATATTGTAAAGCCAAACTGGCTTTTTGCAAATTGCCACAAGTAGAATGCAAGTGGAAAATACAAGTATTTGAAGAAAACCCAGAGGAACTTTCATCTGAAGGACAAAACACACGCTGCTGGTTTCTCTGCCTCGACCTGAGAATGTATATCTGGTTTTGGTGGATTTTTCCATGAGACTGGGAAAGCTTCTGGGACTAATTTCCAGGATACAATGGGACAAGACTGTCTGCTAAGGCCATCCACATAGCCTGAGCTCAAGAAACCAAAATGGGGCACAACATCTTCATTAAAGGATTTTTGGATTTTTTTTCCTCTAATGCCATGTCATCACAGAAAACTCTTCCTGAAAGTACGGTTTCTCTTTCAGCCTGACAATATCTACAGAACATCAAACACAAATACTTCTTCAAGCATCAGACAAAAGTACCTCTTCATCCCACAGGACCTTATTAGCAGAAAAAAGGGTCAGGTACCAAAGTTTAAATCAAAGATTAATCCAAAACAATCTTTATTATGTCCAAATTGACATATCTTTTAAAGACATTTTTGTACTCTTCTTAGTTATGCTTTATATTCTTTTGAGGCTCTTCTAAATATATCTTTTTCCACTGCTTGATGCCAGCCTCTTGAAGTTGATATACTAAGGCTTTCATTGATTTCACTGAGCTTTAGAATCAATATACAAGATATACCTTTGTACATGCACTTCAAACATATCATTTTAAGTCCAAAGGAAAAAAAAAAAAAAAGAGTTTGAAACAGTTAAAACAACTTGAAAACTTATCTCAGAACAGGGCAATAGCATGACAAAATGATAAAGGTTATCTTAAAGAGTAATTCCTACTTTATTTAATTTCTGGCTCCATATTATGTATTTACAAACAAAGCTTTCTTACAAATTGGAATTAAACTGTTTCTGTTTTGCATCTTGCTTTAATTCCATTCAGCCAAAGGCTATGAGCCCAAACACAAGCAAAGCAACCTAATTTGTATCACTTACACTCCTGAAATTGGCCTTTAGAATGGTGTGTTCATAATAATAACATCCCACGCTGCCTCTTTTTGTGAGCATTAGGATTGATGTTATTAACTCCCTGTAAAGGACAACCCCGTCACAGCCCCTGTCTTCTTGCTTTCCTCCAAGATTGCACCTTGGAGGCTCATAAAGGCAAACACTAGCAACAGTGCTTGAAAGAAAAGACTAACAAAATGTAGTGCATCCTTGTGACTATTCAAAACACAGGAACAATTTTGGGTAGCGCTGCTTCTGTGCTCAGTTGGCTTTATGGTATTTTGCTATGAAACTTTGATAATTTTCTGCTGGTAGAAGAATCCTGACTCGGGAGCAAAAGAAATGCAATCTGCATCAACACTACCGGCCTACAGTTAGTAGTGCCTAAATGTTGAAAACAAGGTTTCAAGCAGACAAACTTGGGAAAAAAACCCAAAATATCAGTTGTTTTGTGAAAGTTCTACATGTATTATTCACAACTATCTCTCAGTAAAGGTTATTGAATGGGTACCCAGCCAAGTGGATATATTCTGCCCATGGGAAACTTTTTATTTTCTCCCCCTGCTTCGTTCCAAGGTTCTTATTTATTGTCTCTAAACTCAGGAAAGGTGTAATATTTTAGGCTAGGCTTCCATACTGTTCCCCCAGGCCACCAGTTCCCACCACACTGAGTCACTTTTTCCAGAGGCAATGCCTCCAGCTAAATTTTCTGTACAGGGAGCCAGAGAGCTGTCACAAGTCACACGCAGAAGTGAACTTCAGGTATTACAGAAAAACTTGCAAAGCCAAAAGTAACAAGTGGCTGGTTCCTGGAGAAGTTTGAGAACTAGTATGAAGCAGTTCCTTTTTTCCTACATAGTGTAGTTTACTAAGGCCACCTTCAGTCTATGAAAAGGGTTTGAAGGGTTGTTATTCGGGAAAGGAATAGAGAAGTGAATAATCACCTAATTAATATGCATTCCTCTCCAGAATCATCATCAGCTCTACGCTTGCCAGTCATCTAATTACATTCTCTAAGTCTCTTATCTAAGATCTCTTTATTTTTATAGTAAAATCCATTTTCAAATATGTGCAAAAGAGTTAAAGTTGGACACATGAATTGCATATAAGTATTACGCTATTTTTGGCATATTTTTCCTCAAAACTTGCCCTATTCCCATGCTCCTCAAACCTCTGAGTCATATTAGAAGGTGGCTGTGGACTTAACAGATGATCCTTGGTCTTGCCTATGCTCACTGAAGCCAATTTGAACGCGCAAAGCCAACCTGACGTTTCCCAGTCTCTGGACTTATTGCATTTATTTTACATGCTTAGACTGATTGCACTGTCCAGTAGACACAGTGCTTCCTGGAAATACCATGGATAACGCTCTCCAGTGCACTGTGCTTTCACCTGCTCACACAGGAGCTGCTGCCTGCAGCCCAGGAATGGAATACAACTGCTGTGGTGGTGGAGGGCAAAGCCAAGTCAGCTCCTTTTGCATGCAGTGGACCAGGACTAACCTGGACACGACTATACGTGGAGCCCAACGCACCAACACGGAGCTTCAGGGTCAGGAAACGGGCACAGGACACTCAAACCATTTTGTCAAACAGCAAAACCTGAGCACCTGCTTGCTGAGTGTTATTCTTGTACAGTAAAAAGGAAGGTAGGAAGGGTATCCCTTTCTATCCCCAGATAGAATGGAAATTTTAAATAGGAAGATACTGACATAGAGTATTTTAATACAATTTTCTTTCGGTAGTCTAACACACTTAAGTTAGCATTAAAATGCCTAATCTCATTTATTGCTGATGTTTTTCGGTATTCACCAAATAATTTCAGACTGTATTTTTGCAAGCTGATTGGCTATGACTATATCCTGTAAAAAATTCAGAATATTGCAATTGGCTATGCATTCTTTTATATACCAAGATAAACCTCATATTTTTCATAGCCTGGCAGGATATGAAATTACATGAACATTTCAGTTTTCATTCCTACAGTTCAATGCTTTTTAACAAATTATTTTCTTAAGGATTTCTTAGGGCTTTGTAGTTTAGGACTGCAATCTGCTTGCTATCCACAGGGAGTATTACCAGAGATTAGCAGTACTTAAACTGATGAAGGAGATATGTCATGTCTCTTTCACATCTGTTTAAAAGCACAACTTCAACAGATTGGCTGCAAAGGACACAATAATTTGATAGAGATCCTTTCTCTGCTTGTTTTATTTTTGGAATGTATAATAGTTTTGTCTTTAAAAGTTGCATGTTTCCATGAATCCACAACAAACTAAGTGAAATGGAAGCCTTTACAGTCTTGTAATGCTGGAAAGCAGAAAATATTCGCTCACTTGTCCAGCAGAATTTGCTCAGATATTGTCTAGCAGAAACTTTTCTTTGCCTTTTCTGAATCCCATAGTGTGTTTGGGTTTTTCTTAAAGTGAATGTTGAATTGATGAATGTTGAATTGCATATACATGCAAACACAGAGATGGCAATATGACTGTGTTTTCCAGGGCAACATATCAGGCAGAAGGTGGGAAAAAATAGGAGCATCTGCCTCAGAAAGGACCTTAGGATTTCTGTTAAAAGTCTTACTGGAATCACAAACAATCTTGTTTGGAATTCAATATTGTATATTAAGGATATCAAAGAGCTGTAGCAGGAGGGAACATTAACACTATTTCTCTCTTGTTGGCATGTACGTGAGGGTTTTTTCCTTACTGATTTGCCTTTGTTTGCTCAGAACCTCTTGACTAATTCCTACAAAACCATGCCTACAGGATGTACCACAGCAGGATTTTGTGGCTTTGCTTCTTGTCAAGTTGTTAGCAGGATGGATCCAACTCTAGGTTCTGTTATCATTCTATTCTTGCTCTGGACCCTAAACATGGAGTGAATGTTCCTAACATTCTTGCCTTGCCTATCAGGTCTAGAAGCACTTTCACACAGGAAACCTATTCGTTTTTGATTCATTCAGCAGCACCAAAAGCCTAATTGGCTTACAGGATGAAAAGTTGTTTCATGCCCTCTGAAAAACAAATGAAAAAAGCATCTCTCTATATATAACAATTTGATTTCATAATTTTCTTCAAAGACTTTTTACTGATCAACTAAGCTCTTCTGTGCTTTCCTACAAAGGTTTGATTTCACAACCCCACAGGAATATGGAATTATTTAAATAGGCAATGTTAGCCCAAATCTCTGGCAAACAGGCATTGTCAGTTCTATTAGAAGTAGCCTAATTACTTTTGGCAATTTTGTGAGGGAGGGCATTGTGTCCTGCATTATCACCTCTGGTGTATGCACATCACCACAGACCTGCAATTAGATTAAAACCACGTGCTCAGAGGGAAAAATCTTGAGCCATCACAGCTCCACCATTATAAAGGACAGGTTTCAAAACCTGGCCTTCTTCGGAAACTGTGATATGCATCTGAAGCAGTACTACTGTGTTTTGCTAATTTTTTTTTTTAGTCTCATATTTTGATGAGCCACCCAGGTCAACCCAGTCTGTGGCATTTGTGGTGAGGAGGAAATAAAAGCAAGAGTCACTTTACCAAAGACGGTCAGCTCCGCGGGGTCGCTGTCTCGCTCCCCCACCATGTTCGTCCCGACGCAGGTGTACATGCCCGCGTCGCTTTTCCTCGTATTGGAGATCATCAGCTTCCCACCACGGATCTGTCTCAAAACAAGGAACATGTTTTTAACTTCAGATAAACAAAGCATATCAGGGGAAAAAAAAAAGAAAAAAAAAAAAAAGAGCTGCCTTCTCAGGCAACAAGTTCCGCAATCAAGGTATTTTAAAGTTTTGCTTGTAAATATATATATAGCTTTAGAATTAAAAATGTATGTATTTAAATATATTTAAGCTGTTCTAGAGAACATTTTTATCATGCTGACTAATTTCAGCTTGCAACTAATTTCAACTGCACTTAATTTTTTTCCTTTGGTTTTCATTAGATTCTTTACGTTTCAAAGTTTATATTTCTTGCTGCGTCTTGGCAGCACAAAGAGCTTGTATTTCTTGCATGATGATATGTAAAGCACTCTTGACATCTCTCAGAAGAAAAAGGTAATTGGACTTAGTTTTATTTAGTTCATTTTACCGGTTTCTTAACAGTTTCCTTGATCACTGATTAAGACAGATTTTCTTTCTTTGTTGAGGCAAACAGACTTAATCTGGCCCAAACTGAGAATTCACCTGAATCCTGTAAGACTTAACATTTTTATGGCTACAAAGGGTGCTTGTAGAGGGAAAGAGCAGGATAGTTGAAAGAAATAAAGTAAAAATTTGCAGCTTGTGAAGGCACAGACAGTGTCAAAGGTTAGACAATGGGGTGCTTCAGAACAATCTAGGAATATAGCCAAAGAAACTTGAGGGTCAGGGAATCGTAACCCTGCAACTCTTCCTTCTTTAGCTCTTGTGTAGACCCTAGAAGAGAGACCCTGGTCCACAAATAGCAACAGCTTAGACTGTTTGGCTCAAAATCAAAATGTCATCCAAAGCCATGAACAATCTTCCTGATAGTACTTCCATGTTGAATAAGATCAGCACTGACTCATTACATACAACATAAAACTTTGCTGAAGGAATATTAATGGTGAAAAGCTAAGCATTTAAAAATTAGGAATGAGATGTCTTCACACCCTTAATTTATCACAGTTGCTTGCACATACCATGGTTTATTTATAATCACTTGATAAGTTAGGTATTTTTGCTGGATCCTTTTTCATTTAGTACAAGAAATGAACAGTCACTGAATTCAGCTGATGTTACTCAATTAGTCAACATGCATTCCTATTCAGGAGTCATAATTCTTTAGGGTAAGACTTCAGCCTTCATATAGAATTCATGTCCAAATTACTACACCAAATACAGTATTACCAATATCATCCTAAGCTGTTGGGTTTTTTTCCCATGGAGTATCTATTTACCTCAGAGACATGACTGAATTTACCTATAAAACATCTTTCTGATATAAAGTCTGATTTTGTCAGTTTGGTGAACTGAGATGTAGAAAAGATAAGGCCAAATGTCTCAAAGACATCCACTGAGTCTCCCATCAAACCGAGCACCTTACATGACCAAACCTACAGCTGAATGGATCTCCATTACACTGGACATACAAACCAGCCCTCAGAGAAGGATAGAGAGCTAAACCATAAGCAATTAACAATCTTCTGCCCTCATTTGGGAAAGCTTGGAGAGGCAACCTGCTGAAAGCCTCTGTGGGAAAGGCTATAAAACCACAAAGTTCTGCTGCACTCGGCTGCGGGCCCTGTGTCTGTAGGCAAACAACCAGCGAGTTGTACTCACACTGATTCGCTCCTCCCGGTCATCGATACGGACTTTATCTTTCTTCCAGTAGATGGTAGGCTCGGGGTGTCCTCGAGGTGGCTGGCACTCCAGTATGGCAGGCTCCCCAGCTGCCACCACAACGTCTGTAGGGTTTTGGCGGAAGTCATCCCGTAGCACTAATGCAACAAATGAGGGAAAGAAGGAAAAAAATTAAGAGAAGTGATGACATTATAAGCAGGGGGAAAAAAAACCATGTAGAAACACATAATAAACAAACAAGTCTGAACCATTATTAGGTGATGAGTGTGCATCTTACATTGACTATAAAAGATCTCATAAAAGAAGCTGGTGGGGTGGGTCCTTTTGTCCAGTAGAGGCAGATTTCAACACACATGGCTTTTTTTCCCCTTGCTTTTTTCTCCAGATAAGAACACTGCTCTGAATTTAAATTAGAAAGACCTGTAGCACCCATTACTCTTTTTAAGCTTGACAGGGTCACTTTCTGTCGTTGCAAAAGTAGCATTGCAGGTTGGATGTTGAGTTGTTTTCAAAACAGACAACAATGTGCTGAATATCTGCCTTGCCTGGGTAAGCTAGGCAAAAAAGGGACAGAACTGACACTGAATTGCAGAGTTACACCTTGATTCAGGATGTTGTTGTTGTTATTCCTGTTATTATTGTTATCACTAAATACATGCTGAAGTGATCACCAGTTCTGCAAGGTGTCAGAGAAATCAAGCTGTTAGTACTGTGCTTCCAGCACATTTATTTCTTCCTCCTATATATTTAGTTCTAATATTTCTGCAACTTCCACCAGTGCTGTCCCATGACATAGAAAACAAAGGGCATTTAAATCACCAAGCTGTTTGGGAACTAAATTAGGCATCACAGGCCAACTTGTTATGTAAATCAAGCTTCTATAAAGAATTAGGTCCAACTAGCTGGCTTCAGTGTGTTAAAATGATATCCACTTCGTTATTCTTCCATGTGTGTCCTAGTCTCTAGGTTAATTGACATTCTTATAAACATAAAACTGAAAATAGCTCTAGATGAGCTACTGAAATAGAATTTAGGGCATTGCCCCTCCTTGAATTTCAGCTTCGTATGGCTTTCATTAGAGCTTTAAAACAGTTCTCGCCCTTAATGGAACCAGGGCCCTCTGAGAAATTAGAAAACACTGTATCCTAGTGAAGGGGCAAGTCAGGAAGAGTTCAGCAGAAATTGCTCAGTCTCATTTCATAAGCAGAGATAATTTACTGCTTTCAATGTTAATAAAATGTGCCCCATTTTAACATTTGGAACGGAATATTTTTCTGTTCTGTAATAAGCCAGAGGAAAAATATGATTAATACATATAAGAATTGGTTTCTGAACAGGCTGAGGGGAGTGGGCTGTACATATGTGGCATTCAGAACGACATAAAAGGTAACTTTTATAGTTCCCCATTTTGGGATACACAGGTAGATCCCAGAGGAAGGAGGGAATTAATTGGAAGTTAATTCCTTTTCTAACACACACACACAAAAAGAGTGACTATCTAGGTTTCGCTCTCAAAGTATAAAACAAAAGTGACAGGATGGAGCTGGCAAAAATGCAAGGACTGGTAAGGACCTGAAGTCTTCTCAGGTGACATACCCAATTGATAATTTTTCTCCAGCAGAGAACAAAAAATAACCTCAAAATATTTCTGATTAATACAAATCACTTGTACACTTCTGATTTGCAATAATCGACTTGACAGAAATGGAATTTTTAGAACTTCAAATGGAAGAAATAACTTATGCAATGTACTGCACAGAAACATTATGATGAAGATCATGGGCTGCTGACTATTTGGCAGTACAATATTTTGCAAAGCCAAGGAAGCAAATGCCGTGGCAATTTCAGGGCAAGAACCCCAAAAAAAGCCTTATAAAATTGCGGTTTTTAGGAAGCATATTCATGTATCTCTCTGTTTCCTATGATACACAAGAAGAAAAAAATACTTCTAGACAATGCTAAACCTGCTTTCATATAACTGGCAAATGGATAAAAATCAACTTCCTCCGTTACACACAAAATCATTATTTTTATTGGCTTGATTCTGTTCGCAATTACAGAACTTCAGTGCAAATCTGTTAGTGGAAAATCCCCAGAAAATCAGCAGATCCCACCACATAATGGCTTTGTATTCCTGACTCCTAACTCCTGGCAGCAATATTAAGGGCAGCATTTTCCTTGAACATTTCACTCTGCTATATGAACCTGACAAATACAGTTTCTTGGAGTGATACACAGTAAATTACATTAACTTTCTCTGAATCATCCCTGCAACTGTGTAAGGTTCCAATCAGCTTCAGAATATGAGGCTAAGAGGTGATTTGATTTTATCACATTCCTTTATCCAAAGTCTCACTGCAAAACTGGCTTGAATGGAAGACAAAATTGATGCTAAAGGCTTTGCTTAATCTTGCTCTGTACCTCAGCACATGTGCGAGTGTTGAATGGATATAACTTGTCATTTCCATCTAAAACATTGTGTGATTTGGAGAAAAACAAAAAACGGTTGGAGAAAAAAGAAATGGGGAAAAAAATAAAGCTGTGACAGAAAGATAAAGATAAGAGAAAAATGTGTGGAATATAAATTCAAGCAAGAAAGCAACTCGAAGAGGAAGAGAGGGAACACTAAGTTTAGGGAGCATGAATAGAAAAAAACAGGTAAAGAAAGGGAAAAAAAAATAAAAGCAGAGAGAAAAACAAGGTAAAGAGCAGAGGGCACAGGCTGCCATTCCTGTGATTCAGTGCTTTTAAAGCAATCTAACAATGGAAAAGCACAGACATTAATCTGATCAGCCCAGCCAATCCAGACCATGCAAACATCACCCCGAGAGAGGGGGAGCAGGGAAAAGGGGGCAGAGTGTGAGCTGGTGAGCTTGGCTGTCCCCCTCCAGTGGCACAGGAAGCCACAGAAGAAAGGAGCATCGACTGGAAGTTGAGTTCACACATATTAGCACAGTAAATGGAAAAGTTGCAGCACAGCTTAGTGCATTCACCATATCTAATGGTACAATCATCTGTGAAAACAGAAAAGTGATTGAGAGCTGCAGAATATTCCTCAGCCAATTATCCACAATTGCTGGGTACTTCCTGTCGTGGTTTTGCCCTGGCTCAATTTACTTTTATACCCCCACATACAATTACTATTAGTTGAGAGAAGGTTTATGCAGACAAAAAGAGACTGAATTAAAAAAGGTATGAGTATTTATTATTAACAAACTAAAACTAAAGAATTATATCTACAATAATTCTACTTAAGTAAAAGGTATTATGTATTTACAAAAGATACTTCTCCCCCCACCTCTCTTTATATTAGTCCAAGGAGGAGAAGCAGTCTTTTTCTGTTCTCAGAATTCCAGCTCTCTCTCTCTCCAGTAACTCTGTAGCACTTTCGTCGCAGTTGGAACTTCTTTATCTCTCTCTCTCTTTTATGTCGGCCTCCAGGGTTGGGCTTACCCCCCTCCTGGGTTAAAACCAAAGGTTGAGGGTTACCCAGGTCCTGAAGGGTTTCCTTCCATAGGCTTGCAAGGGGACACTTGCTTACTATGGATCTTCTTCCACAGGGTTACAGGGGATAATGGTTTAAGAGTTCACCCCTGTTTCCCTATGGAGGTCCCTCCCCATGGGAGAACAGTCCTTGATTGACTTCTCGGCATGGGTCTAGTCTGGATCCCTTACTTGGATCCCAATATCCCACCTGAGCCATTTTCTGCTCCAGCGTAGGTTCTCTCTAGCACCAGCAGCACGGATCCCACACATGGATCCCAACATCCCTACCTGAACCGTTTTGTGTTCCAGCGTAGGTTCTAATACCCGTCAGGGTCATAAATCTTCAACAGCAGCAGCATGGATCTCTCACTGAGATCCCAAGCTTATCTGAGCCGTCTCGCTCCAGCATAAGCATCGATCCCTTCGAGGGTTACAAAGTCTTTAACAGGACTCTGCCTCATCTGAGCCGCTTTTATTCCAGCATAAGGCTTTCTCTGTTAAAGTCACAAATCTCTGGTGCATCCACAAGCTCCTCTGTGAGCCGCATGGGGGGTCTCTTCACCCCAACAAACTTCTACAGGTGGCAGGGATTTTATTTTTCAGTCTTTACCCTGCTGAAGAGAGGGAGAGCGAAAAAGGAGAAAAGCAGTTCTTCCCCTTCGAACTTTTCTTCTCTTTCCTGTGCTGCCAGCTTCGACCTTGAAAATCCTGTTATCTCATGGCTGGAATTCTTCTGCAGCGGTTTCTCGTCTAAGCAGTTCGTCTTTTAAACCTTTTTTTCTTCACTCTCACAAGAGAGAAGGGAGGCTTCAGTGCTGCACCTGCCCCGCCCCGGCCCAAGCCGGGAGGAGGAGGCCTTGGCCCTCCTCGGGCCCACCGCTTTCTCCTACATGGCTGCTGTTCCTAATTTCAACTGCGCAACAACCTTCTCTTCCGTTTTCTTAAAGATGTAATTAGCAAAGGCGTCACTGAACTTTTTGATTGGTTTTTTTGTCCGGAAATCACCTGGACAAAACCATCCTCAGCCCCAGGGATGGGCTGATGGGCAAAACCACGACACTTCCAGATAACTATTGGTGTGCCTGAGCAGATCACCCTTTCCACACACCGGCAACAAAGCTTTTGTTCACTTGAGGAGCCAGTCCTCCTCAGGGCCCTTTCGGCAGGGCACAGATACTAATGTTGTAAAAATTCAACACAGGCGGGAAAAATGTTGCCACCAGCCTCCTCTTCCTCATCCTGTGTTCTTATTTTGCTTTATTCCAATTTTATCATAAATTACGTAGCTCCCTTTGTGCTTGTGTGGGTGTTTCCCTGCGTTCTTTACTGTGAGGGTGTTGAGGCACTAGAACAGTTCCCCAGAGAGGCTGTGGATGCCCAGTCCCTGGGGGTGTTCAAAGCCAGGTTGGATGGAGCTCTGAGTAACTAGGGGAAGGTGTCCCTGTTCACAGGAGGAGCATTGAGACAAGATGATCTTTCAGGTCACTTCCAAGCCAAACCTTTCTGGTATTCTATGATTTACCGAGGGGTGACAAAGAGAAGGATGTCTGGCACCCCACCCTACCAACTCTGACACTGCAGCACAGCCGGTTCCCTTTGAAGGGCGGGACCCCAGGGGCTACCACGGCTGAGACAGCGACACTGAGGGGAG